ACCAGAAGAGGATAGTATGGAAACTAGGGAAAACATTTCATATATATCATCTGTAGATGCAACAAAACAGCTAAATTTTAAAGAAACTACAAAAAGTGGGAGTACTACATTTGTTACAGAAACTTTCAGGATCCCCAATATTACATTCGTTTCTAACAAATCTGTTTTCCTTATTTTCATATCGCTTTCGATTGTAGCTTTAGTTTTTCTTGCTGTATATATAACACTACGTATCCGTGAGAAAATTAAAGGACCCAGTCAATCCAGGTCTTCAAACGAAAACGAGGATAGACTCCATTATGAGGAAGTGGATATGCATGCAATGACACAAATAGCAGCTTAATGAAAACCATTAAGTGTGTCTGAGTGTTACAAGTGCATGTTATGGCAAACTGGATGAATAAATAAACATTTTAATATAGACAAATAAAGATATACTTGTACATTTTTAGAGAATCATTATTGTTTAACGTAGTACTATATTTCGTGTACAGCATTAATTGTTCGAGCTATTGATTTAGATACTTATCAATTATTAAAGTTTATAAGATCGAAGAGAGAATATGTTATAAATGGAAACAAAGCTATCACAACATATTGCAACCCTCTTGTCAAAGAAGGGTTGGTATTAATTGGGTTTTAAAGTTTTTTTGAAAATTTGTGTATCCTTAAAATTTCAATCAGTTTGGAGATTTTAGTAGATCAAAAAATGATAAACAACGGAAGAAACACCGATCTGATTGTACTGAGGTAGTTTAAAAATAGGTTTACATGCTCTCGGATTTCTACAAAACGTTCCACAGAGAAATTTATTTAAATAAAGAAATAGACTGAAAAGTCCAAAATAAGAATTTGACAAAAAAAATTTGATCGATTGAGAATAAAGTTAAAATACAAAAAAGACCTTTTGAAGCAAAAAGAAGCTAATTTAAGTTATATAATTATATTATTTTAAGACATAATACAATTTGCTTCATTCAATTAGGTCGATATCATGTTTTAACAACCACATTATTGTATCTACGTGTTTCAAATTTTATATTTGACCTGAAATATTTTAATAGAAATTAGGGAAATTGGTACCATGACAAGCGATCACTATGTGCAGAAATATGATTTTTTTTTTAAATGAAACATCCATATGTTGTATTACAGGTGTTTAACAGTGCAGAGTTCCTGTGTTATTTTCATAAAAGTTTTACATGATTGTATGATACATTTGATTTTAAATTTCTAAATTGACATACTGAAATTTTAGGCTTTTGCATTTTTTTTTTTTGTAAAGACTGGTCAGGTTTTTCTTTTCAGGAAATGTTAATGACATCATACATATATATATATATATATATATTATTATTATCTGTTTTTAAAGTTGAAACCAGAGATAAATCGATTTCACAGAAAAGCATAAAAATAATTTATTGCTAAAGTTATAATGTTACATACATGTACAAACTGTATATATACATGAACCTCAATGGATACAAAATATAAAAATGGCTCATAGTCATCGTGAAGTCACGAAAAACATCTTAAAATAAATACTGTATATAGCAATTGATAACTAAAGATAACAAAAGATTTCTGAAAAGTTCAATTCAAAATATATAAATTTGTGGTATCTTTCTATTATGTAATCACGCAGAGAGCCAGATCATCTTCATTCCTGTATGAATTATTTCAAAGGCCATGGTCATAGGTCATATCTTGACCTACTCACGGAACTATATCTAGCATATCCAGTTTCATAAAAAATGATTATAAAAACGAAAGTGAAACGAATGACTAACAACAAATTCCAGATAACTATTGATTGAAATAATCGGCCGTTCATATATCAATCGTTTCAAAACAGAACCCTTTGTCAATCCAAATTCAAATCGTAATCCGCATTCCAAGCCGAGTTACAAATATCACATGACTGTTCGACACAAATTACGAATTGGAGTGAGTGTAGTAAATCTTTATGTTTAAAACCCAAATTTATGTTTGTCCGTCTCAAATAAATGTACAACGGGTGATCAAAAAATTCGTGAACTAATTGAATAGCTTCCATAAAAGAAATAACATAGGGTTTCAGAGTTGAAATTTTCTAAAACGCATTTGCACCTGATCTAGGAAGTCACCTGACATGCTCCGTACGTAGCGTACGTTCTGTAACAGATTCTTATTATTGGCAATAGTGTTTCCCAAGTCCTCTCACTCTGTCTTGGGAGGTAAAGACTGGTTGCCTCCTTATAATCCTGTGTTTAAAGTCTTAAGTAAACGATATTTAAGTAATTAAAATATTATATTGTTATTACGATGTGCCACTATTTTGGGCAATCTTTCACATCAAAATTGTTTAGCAAAGGACACATGTCTTCCAAACCTTGCTTTCACAGGGCAACAGAACAAACATCATTTTTATGACTCCCTACCTTCACTAAAACAATCAATCCAATTAGTGACTTAACACCTGGCAAGTCTTTTGACTTCAAAAAAAATATCATTACATATATATACTAGATCAAAGGAAACTCCAAGATCATATTAAGAAAAAAAATAAGTTTATAAACTTCACCGGGAAACAAATTAGGTCGGTATATGTACGTGATCAAATCTTCTGAAAGAGAGCTTTGGTCTTCAGAGGTTTTAATAACATGACAAACCCAATTCATTTCGCAGTGAAATTCATAAAACTTTTTTTTTTTTCATAATTACCTGTATGTAAACTGAAAATGATGATGAAGTTTCTAAAAGCTAAATACAAATACGTTTTTCTTGTTTGAGAAATTCACTGTTCATTTTTCAATATTGATTATTAATGCACATAACTGTTCCTATTCTTACTAAAAGCTGACAGCATTCTTACACATTTGTTTTCGAAAATCAATGCTATTTGTGCAGGAATCAAACAGATAAAATAAAACATTTACTAGTGATTCATTAAAATATTAAAACAAAATACAGTTATTTTATATTTCCTGTTTCTCGGGATATACATATTTATGTTGACAAAAATGTATCAATTACATGAAAAAGGATATAAATCAGTGCATGAAAGATATTTCAAAACTACAGTTACAATCATGCATTTGGTTATCTATATAATTAAGGAAATATTATCGAACAATAACATAATATAAGAGACACAAGTATCATGGAGTATATAATATTAAAGTCTTATCGCGATTTTTAATTTTAACAAGTTATTGTAAGAATTATTTATAAAGTACCTCTGGAGAATAAAACAAACCGTTAAGTGAATACATGTTTATGAAATATCTTGTTTTATGATTTCAGGAATTTTGCACCTATATTTAAAGAATAACTGTCTTATTTTTCGATTTCATGATGTGATCAATCGATTGGCTTGCGTGATAATTTGCATAAAACGCCGAAGATAAAGCTGCTTCACGATTTGCAGACCTTTATTTCCCGTCGTGTCGGACAGTATCAGGGACAAGCGCGTCCCGATTCCAACTCTCCGAATATTAACAAAAAATTGTATTTATAGACTTGGTTAATAATTGACAAGTTTGCGTAATATATGACATGAGTTAATTTGAATTACAAATAGAGTTGAAGATTATGATTTTAAATAAACAATAATTAAGTCACACAAAGCACAGTCCATCTGGCCATTCACTTATGGCTCATTAAGAAATTAGACATGTTAAAGTAGATACATCTGAGAGAATTAAGCAATTATGACAAATTCATTAGATTAAATAACAGATATAGAATTTTGAATCGAAAATGTCCAAAGTAATTGTCTAAATGTCCGATGGTATATATTCATCTGTGACACTTATATTTCATTCTTTGATTCCGCCAATCCACGTACTCCAAGCCCTGCTTCTGTCTAGCTGTTTGTTCCGCCCTGCACGTGTTTTTTTTTTTTTTTTTGGAACCACGCCAATGCATTGATGGGGAAAAAGCACATTTACATTTTGTAATTTTATTTCGGACAAAGACATTGGAAATATAAATATTAAAGTATAATTTAGATACGTTTCATCATTATGTATTATGATGATTTCGAATTGTGTCCATTTCCAGAGTTAAGAATGGTTATGATTTGACGAACGCATGATTGCTTCTAGTTGAATTGGTAAAAATTAATCAACGTATGATCTAACGAAATCCGAGGAAAACGGGTATAATCTTTTATAAGAAAGTCCTTATCAATACTTTTAAATTATTAAATTTCGCAAATAAACTTCGAATAGACTGAACAATTCATTTTATCTATTTTTGTAGGAAAGCACAAAGTCTAAGGTGATGTCCGTTAACTATATTCAGATTTTACTAACAAAATAAGTTTTGAATTAAATAGAATGTCTCTTTTCATTTAGGCGTAAACCACAGAATATGGCTGAAATTTTGTCGAGTCGGCGTACGTAAAACAACAATAATCAATCACTCATTTAGGTACACAGTTTCTCAATAGCAAAAATTGAGAGTACATAAGTGATTCTTGTTGGCTGATTAAATTAATTGGCAATTTATATTACAACGGACAATAAGCAAGATTATTATTTGATGGAATATAAGTATTTAAAAACCCAATCAACATAAACATTATCAAAGTGAAATTAAACAACTAAACTATTATTACTGATTAAAAAAAGATGTCTGAATCCTTTCTGTTTATATCTTTATGTTTATTATTTTTAAAACGTCAAGTGACGTCGAGTCAAGGGTATTAAAATTAAAATCAAGGCGGTTATCAAAAATGAACATGGATTTATATTAATTGAAACATAATGAGTTTATGAATAAATTGCTCGCAGCACCCCTAGTTTTCAAAATAAATTATGAAAACATAACCTTAACACCAGAACAAAGTAACTCCCAAATATTTTTTTTTTAATTTTAACTATTTACTTATGAACATAAAAAAAAATCATAGACCATTGTTACAGAGTTTGGAGAAAAATACAAATGAAAAATACAAAATTATTCTAAAAATAATTTTTTTTCAAACATTTATTGTATAAACCCACACAGACATTCATCAGAAAATAAAGAATTCAAAGATATTTGAATATAATAAGGTAAGAATAATCTGTATGGGTAAGGCCTCCATTATCTTTGCACGCTCCTGTATACTTCCAGTGTTCGTAATCTCACTTTGAGAACTATTAAATGAGAAGAAAGTCCTAATAAGAGAAATTATAAAAGCCACTAAGGCATAGACGAATTCTTAACAAACTAATTTTAAAACATTACTAAAAAAAATAACCGTGTGTTCATAGCAGATCATTTTACATTCCCCAGCGCTGATATTAGATCGATTGGGCATGTTATCGAGACAATTGAAATTTCCATTCAATTACATCACATGAAATGGAAGCTTCACACACACACACACCCTAACACACAATGAGTGAAAGTATAAATTTAAGTCCTTGATCTTAGATCTTTTGAATTCAAAATACAGTAAAAAGGAGTCTTTCTAAGGCCATGGGAAGTTGTGGTATAAAATTTGATTGTAAATGATCAAGGGCTTCTCCAAATATGGCAAGGAAAAGTAAGTGTTAAAGAGGCAGAATTTTTGAACTTCTGACCTAAAGTGACCTTTGACCTTCAGACCTCAAAATCAATAGGGATCTTTCATTGACAATCACAATTCATTGTGTAATATTTCATTTCAAAAGCTCTAAGGCTCCTAGAGACATCATGTGGAAACAAAAGCGTTACAGACAGACAGAACAACAAATGGACAGACACAAAGACCGACATTTATATCCCCTACTTTCAGCGGGAGACAAGAAAATAATGCAACATACTTGTAAGTGGACCAACTGTATAAATTCCAAATAAATGAAACTTGTATTTAGAATATCATACCTGTAGGATCGTGTATTCTTAAAGCATTCTGAAACTGTCAAAGTAGATTATGATTAAACGGGTAGACTGTATACGTAAAGTATAAATAAATAAATTGTCATGGAAAACAAAGAATATGAGGAATTAAAAATGTATTTTCATACGTACAATTATAGGCAACAGTCGAAAAGTAATCAGTTTTGCATGCCTTGCATGTTGATGTATAAAACTCTTGCACTTTTCCACCTAACGTGTTATATTCTGGACAATATCCTAAAAGAAATTGAAAAAACAAACAAAATCATTTGTAACAAAGTAATAAGTTTGAAAAGCACCACTTGAAATCAGGAAATTGAACAAAAGTCGTTGTCCACTACCTTCGTAGAGCCTCATAAAATCATTATTTATGCATATGTCTATCAAAACTGTTAAGATGTATCAAAATATGATAGATAAATGATAACTGGAACTATACTTTTTGGTCTCAAAGACCGCTGTACTCGTTTCTTTCTGTTATTGTGCTTTATACGATAATTGAGGTATGAGTAAATGCCGATTATTGTGGAATAAGGTCAGTCTTAAAACTACCGTGGACAATCGTGGATGCGAGTGTTTTATGCATCGGTTTTTCAGCATACAATTTAGTATCCACTCTGGACATATTCCTAGTATCAGTTTAAAGCCGCTTGGTCCGATTCTAATCGCTAAAAATATATATTCGATTTTCTTCTTGAAAAATAATTGTCCATATATTGTTTCAACTTTTGTCAAATTATATCCCCAAAGTCCTTTTCTTTTAAAAGATATCAAAATTCGAAAGTTAAAAATATAATTTTTGTTAGGTCACACAAAAAATAATCCTATGTTGATCATTGTTGATATCGCGTGAAATCACCTTCGAAAAATTTAATTTATCGCTTACATGTTTATCTCATGAAGAACACACCCGAGCATTTTTTTTTCACAACAAAGTACATATATTACCTGTACACGGACAATATTTAGCTCCTTTGAAAAAATCATTTAAAATATCTGATTTTCCTTTATTCTTTAAATATGCATATTAATATAAAAATTACTATGGATTATATTCAATTAATTTCTTAATTTTGAAAAGATGTATTATGACTAAGGCTTCTAATAATAGAGAAAAAAAATACTCGGGTTTGAATTATCTTCATTATTAGATATATCCGATAAACTTATTTTTCAGAATTGACTTCACAACAGATCTTAACTTCCGTCAGGAACTACTGTTTGTCAATAAGGTTTTTGATCTGCGTTTTTCATGTAAGAATTGTAATAAACTATTAAATCAATCTTATAATTTATTTTTATATATAATCTATGTAATGACGAACTTTTATTGTGTAAGATAATATGTGCCTGTTTCGGGTTAAGCGGCTTTAAGATTTACTATAATACAAACACATCATTTTACTTTCCTCAATTTTTAATCAAAGATGTAAACTCTCATAAAAAATAAAAGTGATATTCATAGAATTAAAATAAAGGGTTTTTTTTACCTGCAGGAATTTTCGCCTTTGGTGCGCATACCTCCAGAGTCCTATTTTGCCATTCGTTGGTAACACAGTGGTATTCCAGTTTCCTATAACAGTTACTTTTAATTTCCTCACACTTTTTGATCTCTGCTCTCTGTGTCCATTTTTCTAAGCTATCAGGGCAAGAGAAAACTTCCTTCACTGTTAATTGTGATTGTTCACAATACTCCGGGTCTGAACATTTACAATTTCCTAAAATCTGCAAGGAAAAATATAAAAAAAAAAAACAAGAGGCCCAGGGGCCACAGCGCTCACCTGAGCACATCGGGCTTGAATTTACCCCTCCCCCTCCAGGCGTTCATCATTTGAACAAACTAGAATCTACACTACCTGAGGAAGATTCCATAAAAATATCACTAATCATAGCTTTGAAGTACTTGAAAAGAAGATTTTAAAAGATGTCCCTATATATCCCTATGTAAAACTTGGGTCGGCCATTTTTGCTCCATTCTTGCCCCGGGGGTCATGATTTGAACAAACTTGAATCTACACTACCTGAGGATGATTCCACATGAGTTTCATCTTTCCTGGCCCAGTGGTTCTGGAGAAGATTTTTTAAAGATTTTTCCTATATATTCCTCTATAAATCTTTGGTCGGCCATTTTGGCCCCACCCTAGCCCCGGAGGTCAAGATTTGAACAAACTTGAATCTACACTACCTGAGGATGATTCCACATGAGTTTCATCTTTCCTGGCCCAGTGGTTCTTGAGAAAGACTTTTAAAGATATTTCCTATATATTCCTATGTAAAACTTTGGTCGGCCATTTTGGCCCCACCCTCTACCCGGGGGTCATGATTTGTACAAACTTGAATCTACACTACCTGAGGAAGATTCAACTTGAGTTTCATCTTTCCTGTCCTGGTGGTTCTTGAGGAGAAGATTTTTAAATAGTTTTCTTATATATTCCTATGTAAAACTAGGGTCGGCAATTTTGGCCCCACCCTTGCCCCGGGGGTCATGATTTGAACAAACTTGAATGTACACTACTTGAGGATGCTTCCACATGAGTTTCATCTTTCCTGGCCCAGTGGTTCTGGAGAAGAAGATTTTTAAAGATTTTTCCTATATATTCCTATGTAAAACTTTGGTCAGCCATTTTGGCCCCATCCTTGCCCCGGGGGTCATGATTTGAACAAACTTGAATCTACACAACCTGAGGATGATTTCACATAAGTTTCATCTTTCCTGGCCCAGTGGTTCTGGTGAAGAAGATTTTTTAAAGATTTTTCTTATACATTCCTATGTAAAACTAGGGTCGGCCATTTTGGCCCCACCCTTGCCCACGGGGTCATGATTTGAACAAACTTGAATCTACACCACCTGAGGATGCTTCCACATGAGTTTTATCTTTCCTGGCCCAGTGGTTCTCGAGAAGAAGATTTTTAAAGATTTTTCCTATATATTCCTATGTGAAACTTTGGTCGGCCATTTTGGCCCCACCCTTGCCCCAGGGGTCATGATTTGAACAAACTTGAATCTACACTACCTGAGGATGCTTCCACATAAGTTTCATCTTTCCTGGCCCAGTGGTTCTGGAGAAGAAGATTTTTAAAGATTTTTCCTATATATTCCTATGTAAAACTTTGGTCAGCCATTTTGGCCCTATCCTTGCCCCGGGGGTCATGATTTGAACAAATTTGAATCTACACAACCCGAGGATGATTCCACATAAGTTTCATCTTTCCTGGCCCAGTGGTTCTGGAGAAGAAGATTTTTAAAAATTTTTCCTATATATTCCTATGTAAAACTAGGGTCGGCCATTTTGGCCCCACCCTTGCCCTGGGGGTCATGATTTGAACAAACTTGAATCTACACCACCTGAGGATGCTTCCACATGAGTTTTATCTTTCCTGGCCCAGTGGTTCTGGAGAACAAGATTTTTAAAGATTTTTCCTATATATTCCTATGTGAAACTTTGGTCGGCCATTTTGGCCCCACCCTTGCCCCAGGGGTCATGATTTGAACAAATTTGAATCTACACTACCTGAGGATGATTCCACATGAGTTTCATCTTTCCTGGCCCAGTGGTTCTGGAGAGGAAGATTTTTAAAGATTTTTCCTATATATTCCTATGTAAAACTTTGGTTGGCCATTTTGGCCCCACCCTTGCCCCGGGGGTCATGATTTGAACAAACTTGAATCTACACCACCTGAGGATGCTTCCACATGAGTTTCATCTTTCCTGGCCCAGTGGTTCTGGAGAAGAAGATTTTTAAAGATTATTCCTATATATTCCTATGTAAAACTTGGGTCGGCCATTTTGGCCCCACCCTTGCCCCAGGGGTCATGATTTGAACAAACTTGAATCTACACTACCTGAGGATGATTCCACATGAGTTCATCTTTCCTGGCCCAGTGGTTCTTGAGAAGATTTTTAAAGATTTTTCCTATATATTCCTATGTAAATCTTGGGTCGGCCATTTTGGCCCCACCCTTGCCCCGGGGGTCATAATTTGAACAAACTTGAATCTACACTACATAAGGATGCTTCCACATGAGTTTCATCTTTACTGGCCCAGCGGTTCTGGAGAAGAAGATTTTTTAAAAATGCCATTAATTTTTAACAAATTCATGATTATCTCCCCTTGGAAAAGGGCGTGGCCCTTCATTTGAACAAACTTGAATCCCTTTCAGCCAAGGATACTTTGTGCCAAGTTTGGTTGAAATTGGCCCAGTGGTTCTTGAGAAGAAGTCGAAAATGTGAAAAGTTTACAGACAGGCAGACAGACAGACGGACAGACGGACAGACAGACGGACGGACGGACAGCTAGACAGACGGACGCCGGACAAAATGTGATCAGAAAAGCTCACTTGAGCCTTCGGCTCAGGTGAGCTAAAAATTAGAGAAAAAGATAATGTTTCACCCGTAGGGAGACGTCACGACTTGGGGATAATGAGCTGCAATTTTTCTCTGTACTCAAGACTTATAAGTACGTCCATAAAGCATTAAAAAAACTTTTTTTTTCTTGCCAGCACCTACTGCAATATAATATCTCAGTTTCATATGGAATTGTCAGAAAGAACGATTTCCCTGTCCCACAGTGAGATACTATCCCTCGACGTAAGGATCAACTCCTTATTCCGTGACCATAGAGCAGACGCTCTATCGCCTGCGCCACGCGGCTAATTATAAGAAATTGCAGATTTCCGAACAAAAAAATCTAAATTGGAGAAGAAAAATATAAGTAAAAATTATTTTAGCTTGCACCGACATAGAAATATTTCTTAACTTTTTTTGTACTAAAGGTATGCATGCGAAGAAAAGTTTATTATGTTCCCATGCTGCTATTTCTTTAGACACATGTATCAAGGTCACAGTCGGATGACCGAGGATTTTGATACAATCTTAAAAAAGGATTCTTAGAATTTATTCCTAGATTTGTTGAATGGACTTTTGAGTTTTAAATTGTTTAATAAAAAATTAACTCACTATATAACTGTATGTAACCCACGACTTTAGAGGAGATCTTTGATTTGTTTCATTTCAATCCGACTTGCATTATATTATATATTATTTATATATATTTACATCCACTGAATATTTTCTTCTTTATTTCTTAAGAAAACCCATTGCGTTCATCCCTGCATAAACTACATTAGGCATATCACCTGTACAGATTTATTGATCAGTGGCCGTTCCATCAATGAAACGTACAAAGACGTTCACATCATTAACACAATAATTAATATTTTTAATCCTACTTAAAATGATAATTTAAACAGATATAAATATAAACAATAAAATGTCTTTCTTTGTTTGTTGCTACTGGAATGAACGGTCGCAGCTATTGCAGAAAAAAATAACATAACACGCTTACGCGGGTTATGTATTTTTTCTGCAACAGCTGCTTCCGTTCATTCCAGTAACAACAAACAAAGAAAGCATTTTATTGTTTAAATATTTACATTTCCTATGTCTTTGACTCTTTGTCCGAGATAAAATTACAAATTGTTAATGTGCTTCATTTCTACATGAATGTACTGGTTCATCAATAGGCGTGGTGAAAAAAAATCACGTGCAGGGCGTAACAAATAGAGACAAGAAGAGGGGCTTGTACATGTAGAATGTGGATTGGAGGAATCAAGAGCACGTGCATATAAGAAATAACTGTCATTTTTTTTCGATTTCGTTTCGACGATCAATCGATTGGCTTGTGTGATAAATTCATTACTTATTGCTTATTTATTGATACTATCAATTATCACGCACGTCACTCTATTGATCACGTGCACATCATGAAATCGAATATCACCCTTGACAAAATATGGGGAAAAAAACCCAGAGATACATGTACATGTATCTCTCTTTAGAGACAATTCTGTTTGATCGATTCATGTTTGCTTGAAAATAATCATGAAAACAGTAGATCGATAAAATATTACTCAGTCTAAAGAATAAAAAAAAATTGATATGTAGGCCTAGATGCATTGTAATTAATCTTTCCATACTCCTGCATTTCCAGTTGTTCGTTTTACTTTAAGATCCAACCAAGAAAGGCAAAAATAGTGTCATTTCATACCCGAACATTTCATTAATTTTAGGGAACTAAGTTTGTCCGTGTTTAAAAACACGTGAAAAGTTAACATTGAAGCGCAAGCCAGTGTGAACATTGGTCCAGAATATTGCAGTTCATTTTAAACATTATCAAGGTACAGTGTAATAAATAAACACATTACAATATAGAGGCCTTAATGACCAATATTACATAATAGTACATGTTGGTGTATTAGACACTATGAGGCGCCATTTCAGTATTTATTGAACTTTAGTAATACATGTATCACCTATTCAAATAGGCGATATCTCCTATTTGAATAAGTAATTTCACTCATTCAAACTTAATAGGTGATATAACCTATTTGATCTGATGATATTACGAATTGTTGATAACACCTTTTCGAATTAATTATATCACCTATTGAAAAAAATGGTCGATATCACCTAAATGAACAGGTGCTATCTCCTATTCGAATCACTTATTCGAGTAGCTGCAGAACTGTAGCTCTCCGAAAAACTGTATATATTTATTGCCCACAAAAAAGTGCGCTCGGATTAATTCTTCCAAATTATTACTTCAGTTGCAAAAAAAGCTAGATTTCAATAAAGTCCTTACTCCTCTATCAAATACTTCCATACTTTACATCTGTACGAACTACGAAGCGCGTTGGATCGAATTATCTTGCAAAGCAAATGGCAATTTAAATAAGAAAAATTGTCGATGACCTCAATTTCAGGTCCAGGAGAGCTATGAAAAACAATTATAAGTATGTTTGTTGTGGAAACAGTGAAAGAATATGTTATGAACAAACGGCTAGTAATAATTTGAGATGACAGTTTTGAAAACACGGAGAAATAAATCGAGAAACAGTGCACTTTTTGTGCGCATTAAATATACAGTTTTTTCAATGGGTGACACTGTAGCTCTCCGGTCTATCAATATATATTTTTTTTTCGGAGAGCTACAGTTCTGCAGCTATTATTCGAGCCGAAAATTATTGAAAACATTTATTTATTCGAATAGATGATGTCACCCATTTCATTTGAATAAGTGATACCAACATTTCGAATAGATGATATATCTTATTTGCATTTCTTGCAACAATAAATAATGAATGCTCATTCCCATAATTTTTTTTATTGAACCATGCAAATTGGGCTGCCCAGATTAATCTTGTGTTTTAATCTGAGGCATTTAAAAATTCCTCACTTTTTCGATTAAATTAAAAAAATATAATTTTTTTAAATTATAACAAGCTAGGGTGTAACAGACTGGCATATATTCATAGTGTAGAGTGCTCAATTATAAAAAGGAAGTGAAAGTTAAAGCAAAAGTCCGTATAGTCATGGGAGAATTTTTTTCATAAGTAATTTGAAAAGGTGAAATCACCTCTTTAATTTCTTAGTGATATCACCTATTCAAAATGAATAGATGATATCACAGGGACGTAGCAAAGGGGGGGGGGGGGCTGCCCCCACCACTTTTTTCCCCAACCTTCCTTTTAATATGATAAAGAAAATATGAATTGAAAGTCTGGTTGCCTCCCCCCCCAACTATTAGTGATGTTCGGAAAATATAGTATAGGTATTGGTACTGAAAGTAGTTGACATGAAGAAAGAGTTGCCCCCCTCCCCCCTACGAAATAGGATTTTCGACTTTGGGCAACTTTTTTTCCTTTTTCCCTTTTTTTTTTTGCTTGTCAACCTTTTCAGGTAAGTAAAAAAAAATTGTGGCTCCCCCCGCCCCCCACTTTCAAAAAACGATGCTATGTGCCTGTGTCATGTTTTTTTTAATTGAGTAGTTAATTTCCTCTATCAACTAAGCAATGTCACTCACTCAAATTGAAAATCTTAAGGTGATATGACCTATTTGAATAGATAATATCACGTATTCAAATAGGTGATATCACTTATTCGAATTTATGTTAATTATCATCTATTCAGAGGCTGATGAATAAGTGAAATCATTTATTCGAATAGGTGTATCACTTAATGGCAGTAAAACTATACCCAATACAATAACCCGGTGTTTATAGGTAAATTTCGATATTTGCATTTACAGGACAGGAACCGGGGTACAAATGGGTGAATAATGCAATACTACTAACTTGGAGAAATATTAATACAGAGACAAAGCTGGGCATCTTCTGAACCTCCTTGATCTCGATCCAATGTATTTATCTAAGAAATAGAAAGTATACTGAATTAATAAATATAGTATTGACTTGCAACTAACCTTGAAAACAAATACAACAAGATATGTTTGTGAAACACTGATGCTCTCGTATGGCAACACAGCAACGATTAAACTTTTCTAAAAAGCAAACTCACTGGAAATACAATTCTGAAATAAGAAAGAAGGTTTAAGTTTTTTCATAAGTACGGAAATCTCCAAGGTCAAGGTCAAAAGATAAAGGTAATTGCTTTCCAATAAAAGGTCTTGACAAAAAAATACGTATGTAAGTATGGAAGCCATAGCCCAAACTCTTCAAAAGTTATGGCCAAGGTTAAAATTTTAAAGAAGTATTTCAAATTCCAGGTTCAAAGGGTTAAAGGTCTTGTTATCAAAATGTTGTGCCTGCAGGAATATTTTATAGTCAATTTCTCAACTTGAATGATAGTTTGCATTTTGTGTGGCGATTGACAGTGGTTACGCTGATTAAACGCGATTTACTGAACTTTAAGAGTGCCCTTAGAATTATCAAATTGTTTTATAAGTCTTACGATATAGTAAAGAAAAAAGAAATTCTCTTGCAAATTATTACCGTTATTTTATTGGATGCTTACTGGAAATGGCTTTTACACACGAACTGTAGAACCGGTATGGTGGAAAATACGGATCTCCGGATAGGTTGCAATATACGCCGACATACCTGAAACTTTCTATACAAAACTTTATAAACTTTTTCATGGGGTAAATTTAAGTACATGTTTCCCCATGGGTTTTTATTTTTGACACTAAATATCTCAAAAAACTAGCAGAATATGTTGCATATTTAATTTCAGAAATTCATTTAGATAGAAAAACCCCAACATTAAAAAAGAAATTCAAAGAGAATAGCTTTAAAGGAAAAGGATACGCAAGTTCGGAAAAATGTCCATTCCGAAGTTTCCGTCCCACTGTTATAAATAAGAGGTCCTGGCTAGAATAAAAATTATAGATTGATTAATGAGTTTTCTAGAGGTTTTATTAGTAAATAAAGTATTGAAATACATTGGATAAAGAATAGATTTTGAAGTTTTATGAATGACATATGACGTAGACGAAGCGGTTTATAAATAAGCGTAAACTGCCCCAAGTTTTGTTATATCGGATAACATAAGTTGAAATAAGCTTCATTTCTTATAATTTAATTTCAATGTAGACAATGAGACAATATTTCCTTCAGAAAAAGGCTTCAAAGTGAGCATTATTTTAAATGTAACGTCAAGCGGAGGGATACGTTTTTGACGTAACACATTATGACGTAGGCAAGTTATGTTATACGAAATGGATAAAACCGTTTAACCAATCAAATCACGAGCTACAGCTGAAATTAAATTATTCTAAAATAGTTTCAGTATACGTTTTAGCGCAATAAGAACCTTTATCAAGTATAAAGTAATATTGAATATTTAGAAACTATGATTTATTGAATATTTAAATTTAGCGATAAGACCGCGGAACATTAACTGGCAAAATTGGAAATATACATGTACAGCTTACGTCTTTTCTATCTGTTACAATCAAAACATTCATTTTTGTAATTTCTTCGCAGTTTGAATTTGTATCTTATTATATTTTATTGACAAGTTAAACTTAGTCAATTTTTATAGTTCGGTGTGAAGTTGCACCGTTTGATTGAATTACGACAGTGCACCGTATTTGAATTAATTATCTTTTGCATGAATGTATATGAGGTGATGGCAGATTTGCATGGCAAATTTTTTACTTTAATGACATAAATTACTTTATTTTATAACCAGGAGCTATAGATTTAGGGTGGTAGATTTTAGTCTATCATGTGCGGAATTATGGAGATAGTCGGGCGCGCTTGCACCTTACACCGAGGTACTTTGTGAATTTATGTTCCGAGTTTAGATTTAGTATAATTTAGCAGAAACCTAGCACCTAACACTGAGTAAGGTTATATAGCACCAGTCCAGTAAAGATGGAACTTAGAACCAATTAGCTTATATCAGTGGCACCTTGCACCTGGACACCTACAACCAGTTTGCTCCAGTGTCATCAGTATACGTAGCACCTAGCACCTTAAGCCGTTAGCACCATTTACCGAGTCTAACGCGAATCTGTGACCTTTTAAATATAATTTTTATTATTGTACATTACACTGTGGATTTTGACGTTATATAAAACTTGTATATTGTACATGTACTTTTCATTGAATGATTTAATAAATTGATTGTAATTGATCACACTTGTTCTGTCTAATCTTACCTAAGCACAGGTTCCTTCGAACCCATTATTGTAACGTGCCTCAGGGGTACATACTGATTAAATACACATTCAAGACGAAAACATAAAAAAAAAATGAAAGGTCTTGTGTCTTGTCACAAGGATTAGATATGTAAAATTAGCCCTTACCCTTTTAAAGTTATGGTCAGGTTTACTTTTAAAAAGTAGGTCAAACTCCCAGGTCAAAGGGTCAAAGTTCTTAGTATGCATGAAGGGTTTTTTCACAAGAATTATATATGTGAAGTATAAGATCACTTACCCTTAGCGTTCAAAAGTTATAGCCAAGGATAATTTTTTGTCATTGACTGAAATCTCCCAGGTCAAGATCAAAAGGTCAAGGTAAATGGTATCCAATGAAAGTAAAAAAAATGAAAGCACTACTTCTAACCCTTTGAAAGTTATTGTCAAGGTTTGCTTTCTAAAAGAAGGTCAAACTCCAAGGTCAAGGTCAAAAGGTTAAAATTCTTGGTATCCAATAAAGGACTTCTCACAAGGATATTAACTTACATAAAGTATGAAAGCCATATCCCTTACCGTTCAAAAGTTATTGCCAAGGTAAAAGTTTTCTCATAAGTACGGAAATCTCCGAGGTCAAGGTCTAATATTCAAGGTTGTTGGTACATTGTATCCAATGAAAGGTCTTTTCATGAAAAATACATATTAGTTACATGTTTGTAAAGGATTGATGTCCCGGTATCTGCTGTTCAAAAGATATTGCCAAACTAAGTGTGGTATTTTTGTGGAAAAGCTCGGTTATGTTGGTTATGTTAAGGACCGATATGGAAAATGTGACCTTAGCACCGTTTTAATATGTATTACGTCTTTTAAAACATTGTAACAAAGTTGAAAATGACAACAGATTATAGGAAAAACTGATCTCTAAAACCTTCTAAGATATTGTCAATCAAAAACCAAAGCATCATTTTTTTATTTACTTCAGAGTACATTTACATGTAATTGTCTTTACAATTAGAATGTTAATTTAACAAAATAATCTTAAGGTTATTTAATTAAAACGATAGTGAAACTTGTTAAAGAACATCACTAGGAGAAATGCTATGGATTGCTTCTTTATCATATTAACAAGATCTATATTTTTACCCAAGTAAAAATTTAGATCCCTGCGTTAAAATAATAAATTTAGCAAACTGTTTTCTTTTTCCTTATCAAAGTATTTTTGTTCTGTTTCTTTTTTGTATTTTTCCAAATTGTATGTTTTTATCTGTTTTTGGATAAAACTCGTCGGGATTAAAAGTTTTAGGTTTCCAAATACTTTCTCTTCATGTGCATATATTTCAACCCTAACTTACGAAGAAAGAAACATATGAATAAGACACGTACTACTTAGCATAGCATATTACAAATGTTGCTGAAAACCAAAAGTTTTCGAAAATTACATTTTAATATTTTAAGGTCAAGATAATGGGAAACCATTGAATGGAATATTTTATTCTTGTCGAAACAAAAAAAAAATACAATATTTTTGTCATATTATTCAATTGTTGCAGAGCAAATTTAGGGATCAACTTTGTATATACAATTACATGTATATGACATAAAGATATTGAATATGAAGTTCAGTCTGTGTAGTAATGTCTCACCAGATATTTAATAGATCCCTTTCATACCATGCTTTCAGCATTGAAAGATTGATAATGAATCTTGATAAATTAATACGAAAGATTGATAATGAATCTTGATAAATTAATACTATTTCTTCTTTTTTGGAGGGGGGGGGGGTTAAACTAATAAATAATGCAGCATCTTACAGGACTTTTCTATACATATGGTTAAATGGGTTTTGTTAGATGAAAAAATACATCATGCTTGCAATTGTTATTGCTATTTGATATTCTTTCTGCTTGACTTCATAGACAAACCAAACGAAAATCACACTCCATACAAGGTGAATACTAAGAGTAACTTCAGAAGTTAAATACAACCGCAACAAATGCAAGTATCGGTTAGAGAAACGTCGCAAAATACTGACCTTTTAGTTGAAAGTAACTGCTGATAAAAATAAATCTAAATTAAAATTTAAAATAGTATGCATGAAATTGATTTTAGTAGATACATGTATTGTCGTCGTTAAACACATACGTATTTTATAATTGTAAAAGGATCAAAAGCATCCAGTAGCATGCAGTATGTAATTTCGTCTTCTGTAGTTCACTCGGTCATTATTTTGTGTTGAATAATGTAATAACTAATAAGTGTATTTTTAATATAGGAAATCGTGTAACCTCCAAAAGCAAATAGACTCTTCATTACTTTTATTCGTCTGAGACATATTTTTAGCATTACATGCTAGAAGAAAGGAAAACTACAAATTTTGAAGTTTGTTATAACGAATTAATTCGTTTAATCAAAACCAACAATGATGGCCTATAGAAATATGTATATGAAAACAGATGACAGATCATTTTCTGTATCTTGAGATTTGGGTTGCAATAAAAAGCAGGGCGGATAAAAGGAAAGTAAAACATATAAAACCGGAAAAAAGACAAGATGAAAGAAGCAAAAAATGAAGAGAATGAATGAGAAAATGTGTAGAGAAAAGAGAGGTAAAATGACAACAAACAAAGAACTTTTATTAAACCTGGTCTTTAATTGATAATGATAATTGATAAATTCTACAATATTTCTTTTATTTCTTCAATTGATACTTGTCTCAAACACTTGCCTGAAATAGAAAAGAAATGAAAAAAATATATTTAGTTTAGTAGTTTAATTAAGTACTTCTGAAAAACAATGCATACTATTTCTTACTTGGATTATGCCTCAAATGAAATCTATCGGTTAAAAAAAAAGCCGACTTTAAATATCAACTAACGGGTTATTTAAGGAATGGCTCTTATTCTTGGCCAAATTATTCGATGATAACCTGGTTTGGGTCAGTTTAAGCTTTATAATCGCGAAGCGAATTTGCCGCTCAATAATACATCCCTAGTAACGGAAGTGTTATGAATCAAGGGGAGGTAATAACTGATCTACAGATCTAGCAGCCATGATGTTTGTGTATACGAGGTAAGATCGAGCTACTGTTTGAAGTTAAAGGTACATTTATTAAATCTGGAATTTCCCATGAATTCCAAGGACTGGAAATGAGGGGATTCTATGGATACAGATGATTCAGCTGGTTGTCAGTGGGATGTCCCCATACCAAACCAGGTTATTAAGAAATAATTTGCGTTCCTTTTTTGGTAATCAACCAATGAGAGATTAGAATACAAACAAAATTAAATTATTCGTGACGAAAACTGTTACTGTTAACAATAATGCGACACTGAATAAATAGTATTTTCTTCATATCTTAATTTTCGCTTGCGGTCGGGCTTTTTATTTGATTCATTTAGTAAAATAGAAAAGAAGCAAGCAAATTCAGATCTGTGGTCCCGCACTTAGTAGATGTAATGCCCTCATTTATGGTATATTGTGTCAAATATGAACACCCTTTAATATATGTCATCCAAAG